AAAGTGAACATTATAATATTCAAAACAGCAAACATTGTAATATATTTAAACAATGTATTTCATATTCTTGAAAGAATATATAGATATATGTTTGCTTCTCTTTTTGTTTGTTTGTTTTACACAAAGTAGCAATGTTGAAATAGCAACTTTTATTTTTTCTTAATAGGAAGTATCTTCATACTGTGCCAGAAAGCCATTAAGTATTTTTAAGGTTATGAGGTAATGGACTGTGTGTTCATTGTTCTTGGTCTAGATATTTCTTACTGAGTATTGGAAAGCACTTAGGGAGTAACAAAGCTAAGTCAATTCTTTGTATTGACTTATATTGACATTTTTGACATAGATAAATTTTCTCCTTTCATTAATGAAAAATAGAATCAATGTAAATAAAATAATATTGGTGTTTGTGAATCATCTACAGGATGTGTAAGAAAAAGTGTTAATGGCTTTCAAAAGCCTTTACAAAAACGTCAGGGTGGTCAGTTACCTTAAAGTTTTGTTTGTTTCACTTTTTTCTTGTTTCTTTTTTCATAAATTTATAAAAGACTCCAAATATATTTTTAAAAAATAATATAAATATTCATGAATACTCTTTATTGAAGGGTTGTGTATAGACATGCTTCATTTTTTTTCTTCAGGACCACAGTCCTATTCTTTCTATATTTCCCCACTATAAGACTATCGATGAAATAAGCAAAATCAGTATTTTGCCATCTGGGCAAATGGTTAACAAGCCATCAACTTTTTGTTGGTTAAGTGTCTTGTCATAATGTTTTTGATGTCAAGTCCATCGCCATTCTAGTAATAAAGAAACTGACAAATAATAAAGGAGTATTGGGATGGTCCAGGGTTCTTTATCCGTTTCACTATGACATTATGTACCATCCAAGGCAAAAGCAAAATTAAGTGAGAGAAAGAAGCTAACAGTGTTCAAGTTTTTAATATAATCAGGCCCTGCAATAGATGCCATTATGTTTCTTCTAACTTAATCCTCAGAACAAATGATATGAGATAGGGTTAACACTCGTTTAACAATTAAAGAAACTGAGACTTGAAGGAGTTAACAAACTTGGAGACTCCATGGTTTACTGGAGTCTAAAGTAAATGTTCTTTGTGCCATTTTCAAAGGTGACACATGCCATTATAGACACAAAAGTACTATCTTAAACAATGTTTATATTTAGTCTACTCAACAGTTTTGCTGACTGCCTCATACTGTGGTAGATACATAGCACCTCTAAATTTCTTCACCTTTAACGTAAGGAGTGGGTGTTCTATCAGTGGTCTTCAAACTGTACTCTCACGAATTCTGTGAGTTTAATAGGGTTGCTTCAAGGAAAAAAAATGTGCTATTGTGGTATCCCCTTACTTTTTAAACAGAATAGCTTCTCTTTGATGTGTTTAATCTATCAACAACTTTCTGGTGAAAAAAAATGTATTTCACTGATTTTGAAGAAAAAAAGAGCATTATCCAACTAGAGGTTTTAAAAATGCCCTCCCTTGATAATATGAATACACATGTGGTTTGCCACCTTTAAAAATCTTGCAATTTAGCTATAAAATCAAACAAATGAATAAAGAATATAAGAGGCCTTTAAAGGCAGTACATGACTACCCAAGGGGTGGCCAGGCAAGAAGCTTCTTCACTCAGCTCAGGTCCTATTGGCATAATTAAAGTGACTCTGTCTGTGCTGGGGAATGCAGGAGCTTCTTCCTACCCCTACTGCCAAAAAAGTATATATTCTGGACTTTGCTTGCTCTAAGGAGACTGTAAGATCCCAGTGTTCTAGAATTTAAAACTTAATAAATGTAGACATGGAGTATAATTTTTGAATAATTTAAATTTCTACCTTATTAAAAATAAAGTTTTACATAGAAAGGAGAAAGGAAAAAAAAAACACTCAACCAGCTACAAGATAATAATAAGAGACGCAAGGTGAACTATTGGCTATTTTTCCTCATATATCACTCTTCCGATATAAAATCACATTTATGAAAAATATGTAGAGGACTATTCAGTAGTCTTCACTTTCTATTTTGTGAGTTATTTGAATTTGAGAAGCTAATGAGTACATTTCACATGAAAAGCCAAAGGTGAGATGGGCACAGGAGTCTGGCAGATAAGAGATAAACTCCGTTCATTACTGTCAGAGTTGTTGAAGTATGTAGTGTTGGGCTCATTAGGCAAGTTGGGCCTTCTGAGAATTTCCTCCAGTCAGTCTCTGGCAGTTGTAATATCCCCTTCTCCACCACTTCACCCACAAAATGGTTTGGTTCTGCAAAATTTACTGCCTGGTGTTGAGCAAAACAGTTATATGTGTTTTCTTCAGGCTCACTCACCAGAAATATTGCTTCTCCTTTAGAAGGAAGGACTAAGAAGGATATTGACAAGGACTGACTGACATCAACTGGCCCAGTCCTTTTGTCTACTTTGGCTTTTCAGTGCCTCTTCCATGGTGGATGAAATTTCTAGGCTTTTTGGTGTGTTTTATATGTAATACAAAAACTTTCACACTTTGCATGCACTCCCATATGTTCAACCACATTCCTCTACTCCACAGTTCCTCATCAGCGATTTTCTAATCCTTTCCCTTCGAGGCCACTGACATATATTCTCACTTTCAGTCATTTTCACTTCAAAGTGGAGAAGATCAGGTGAACCATTTCCACCTTTACTCATTGGGATATTTACCCTTCACTACTTTTTTTAAGGTTATCTTCAGATGTCACTGTGATGCAACCACCATCCATTTTTAGCTTGTACCCCAAATAATGACCAAATACAGCCTTAACCCAACCTTAACCAAGCAGAGACTTCTTTCTTTTCCTTCAGCTGGTTATTTAGGACTTTTCCTCTCTATCTACGGGTGACACATAGAAGTACTATAGTGAAAGGTGATGTGAAAGTCTGTGCTACCCAGCGGTGCAGTTGACTTGCATCCTCTAGTCTTGCTTGAGCACAATAGCAGATGCACTATTTTTTGTTTTGTTTTGTTTCATAGTGTGCTGCTACAGCATCGGTTTTTTATGACATAATAAGCCCAGCTCAAGATGGGCTTTCTAGTGGACATTCTGGATACACAATCACTTAGGGGGCTACAGACTGAATGATTGTGTCCCCTTAAAATTCATATGTTGAAGTCCTAATGCCCAGTGGGATGGTATGTGGAGGCAGGGCCTTTGGGAAGTAATTAGGTCATGATGGTAAAGTCTCCTTCATCGGATAGTGGCCTTATAGGAAGAGACTGCAGAGAGTAGTTTCCGGATCTGAATATTGGCTCAGGACGTGCAACTGAGCAACATCTTATTAGAGCAATTGATTGCCCTCAGCCTCCTTCTTCTCCATTCTTTTTTGGCGTTAGTTTAATTTTAATTGAAAAATAATAATTGTATGTATTTATGGAGTGTAATGTGATGCTTTCTACATGTATACATTGCAGAATGATCAAATCAAGCTAATAACTATATCCCTTACTCAAATGTTTACCATTTCCTTGTAGTACAAACATTTACGATCCCTCTTTTAGCTATTTTGAAATATACCACTATAGTTAATAATAATTTCAGAATAGCTGCCTCTTCATTATTGCTGTCATCTGATTGTAGATCTTAAACAGCACTCAGTTACTATCCATAGCATGCACTGAAGAGAACCATATTCTATTAACCATCTCCACAACTCCTGGAAGGGTCACCTTCCCTTGGCTCTCTCTCTGACTTTTCTACTTACTGTCATAATGTGGTTCTCAACTTTCTTGTCAGAGAAGCCCAGTCCCTTTTCCTCTATTACTTTGAGGCCAGATCCTCCTGGCAATTAACATGCTAACTCTGTAAAACCTACCCTACCATTAGCCCTAGCCTAAAGAGAAGAGCCACAGAAGAACAATTGAGTGAGGTTATAGCCCTCTCACCAGCACACTCTTTATGGCTTTGGCAAATAGCATGTTTTGGAGCTTTTTCATGAAGCATAATAATTTGATGATGGATTTTCTGGCTTCATTTTATATATTCAAGCCAGTACATCCTCTTTCCTCAATCCTTCTATTCCTTCTTCAGTCGGCTAGGCTTTTCTACTTTTCTCAGTATGAACCATGTTTTCTCCAGGCTTTTAAGAGCTACCCTAGTAGCTCCTGGGGTTCCTGTCAGGTTGTTAAATCCTATGTCCCCCCAGAAACTGTTCCCAAATCAATAAATCCTTACTTGTCCAATCTTACGTTCCAGGCCCCTGATCAAAATCAAATCCTAGGGGTGTCACCATGGCTTCTACAGAAACATACCAGCTAATTCTTGCAGCTTCTTCAGGATATGATTTTTTTTTCCTTGTTAGGCTCTGTATGTGTCCAAATATGTTCCAAGTTAATCATAGGTATTGGCCTGAGTAGGAGAAAAATGAATGGGACAATTTCTGTAGCAGAAAGATATGTTGTCTTAAGAAAGAGAAAGTGGCTTCTCCTATGCCTTCTCACATTCTGGCTGCTACTATGAATCTGCAGTTTCTAGGGGTTCAGATAGGGTCTACAGAGCCATAAACCTAGGACATATGCCCAAATGAAATAATTTCTACTGCTATGATTTCAATGTTTGTCCCCTCCAAAACTCACATTGAAATTTAATTGTCATTGTAACAGTATTAATAGGTGAGACCTTTAAGAGATGATTAGTATGTGAGGGTTCTGGCCTCATGAATGGACTAACGTCATTATTGTGTGAGTGAGTATCTTATGAAGGGCAAGTTCTGTCCCCTTTACCCTCTCTCATCATCTCTTATCCCTTTCGCTCTTCTGCCATGTGAGGAACAGTGTGTCCTCACCACTCCGCGTGGTCAAGGCACCCTCATGGAAGAAGAGACTAGGCCATTACCAGACACAAACATGCCAGGCAGGGCCTTGATCAGGGACTTCCTAGCCTCTAGAACTGTGAGAAAAAAATTTGTGTTCTTTATGAATTACTTATTCTAAAGTATTATGTCATAGCAGCACAAAATGGATTAAGACACCTACCTTGGCAAAACAATTCAGCCTTAGCTAAGCAGTTAGCACCGTCTCCAAAGCTCCAAGACCTCAACTATTACATCCCAGGCTTCTCCTCAGAAGTCTCCTGTTCAGGAAATAAAGGCTATTTTGTAAACCAAAGAAGCCCTCTGCTTTTACATTTAGCCTTTTATTCTTGTCAATAGTTCTCAGTTTCTCCTTACCTTCTGCCTGGCATCAGTACAACTTAGTAATAAATGGCCAATTCCAGTGTCCTTGTAGACATTGCTTTCCCCATATCTTTTAAATGCTTGAATCATTGCACTGGCAAAAATCATCTCCTTTACTGAGACATCTTTTTCACTGATGAACTCTTAAGCAACTAGACTATCCTCCTATGTTAGGAACTAGCCTTGCCCCCCTTTGTACTCAAGATAGGGCACTCAGGATAGTGCTGATAATATTATCAGCAGCATAGTGAATGAGAAACGTCCACACTCCATCTTACCACTTACTATTTTAGGCCACTCTCAGTACCCGCTTCCAGCCTAGGTCCTCCTAGAAGCAAACATTAAAACTGGATTTTGATGTACATGCAACTTAATGGGGGGAATGCCTTTGAAGGATGAAGTGGGAGAGAGCAAATGTGGACAGAGAAGGCATTCTGACTATGATGCATGAATGACCCCTGTGAAAAAAAGGAGCGAATAAAGGATGAGAAAGAAAGAGCCTCAAACTATAGTGTAGTTCCTCAGTGCCAGCCTACAGAGAATATCTTACAGCTTTCCCACGAGACACAAAGGTTGTCTATTACAGGAGTTCCACAGGAATGATAGTTATCTGGCTCTAGTATTCCCCACTGTATGTTCCCACACTGGCTGGAAACATCTTGCAGGAAAAGTAGTCTTGCTGAATACTTTGGTGTTAAGACTGAAGTATATTTAAAGGTATGACAGTCAGGGTGTCCTCCACTGCAAGTTCCCCTGAAGGGATATGTGAAGTGCATCCCCACATCCCCACAGTAAACATCAACTTGCAATATTTAGCAATGGCATTATAAAGTCAGTCTCAGAATTAAAACAAGGGTCTAAACTACAAGAACTATAACATACAGATTAGGGGATACACTTTAATATAATGGAAGAACACCACCCTAGAATTTAGCAGAATTTTGCTTTGTTTGTTATCAGTGGGTCAAGTTACACAGGTCCATGAAGGTCTATTTTTTTCAATAAGTTAAATAAAAATAATAGAGTTGAAAATCTCCTATCTAGAGCTAATGAACTGATTATTTAGGAAAAAAATCACTTAATGGGAAAACACATTTTAATGATTTTTCACACAGACACATAATTTGAACATTTAATAATGTGCATGTCGTTACAACCTTTGAACTAGGATCCATATGTTTGCATTTTTATCTGCTAATTGGAGTTCTGACTTTTTATTTTGGCAGTGTGATTACAGAATCCAACTAGGATCTTTTAATTAATTAATTTTTATTGTAAATGAAAATTTTATAGTTGGATATATTTATGAGGTACAAAGTGATGTTTTGATTTATGAATGCAATGTGGAATAATTAAATTAAGCTAATTAACATGCTTATCACCTCGAATGCTTAGTATTTTGGAGGGTGAGAACATTTGAAATGCGTTAGCTTAGTAATTTCTAATGTGCTGTACACTATTATTAACTATATTCACCATGATGTACAATAGATCTCAAAAAATGTCTAATCCTTCTGTCTAACTGAGGCTTTGTACCTTTTGACCATCATCTCCTCATTCTCACTACCCTCTAGCCTCTGGTATCCACCATTTGACTTCCTGTTTCTACAAGTTTAATTGTTTTAGATTCTACATATAAGGGAGAACATGAGGTGTTTGTCATTTCTGTGCCAGGCTTATTTTATTTAGTATAATGTTCTTCAATTCCATCCATGTTTTTCCAAATGACAAGGTTTCTTTCTTTTTTTAAGGCTACTTAATAGTATTCCATTGTGTATAGATACTACATTTTATTTATCCATTCATCTGTTGGTAGACATCTAGGTTGATTCCATAGCTTGGCTGTTGTGAGTAGTGCTCAGTTAACATGGGGCTGCATTCATCTGCTCATCATACTGTTTTCAAATGGTAATTTTCCATTTTTCACCAATCTGACAGTTATTTTTCTATACCTTATTTGATAGCAACGTTTAAACAAGTCAGCTTACCTAAACTGTCCCAAGCATTTAAGAAGTTTCCATGGAAACAAGCACTCTTTTTTGCAGTCATTTTTATATTTATTTTTATTTATTTATTTATTTATTTTTTTTTTTGAGGCAGAGTCTCACTCTGTCGCCCAGGCTGGAGTGCAGTGGCACGATCTTGGCTCACTGCAAGCTCCACCTCCTGGGTTCACGCCATTCTCCTGCCTCAGCCTCCCAAGTAGCTGGGACTGCAGGTGCCCGCCACCATGCCCGGCTAATTTTTTATATTTTCATAGAGATGGGCTTTCATCATGTTAACCAGGATGGTCTCGATCTCCTGACCTCGTGATCTGCCCTCCTCGGCCTCCCAAAGTGCTGGGATTACAGGCGTGAGCCACCGTGCCTGGCCTGCAGTTATTTTTAATCTGCATATACAATTATTAATGGAAAAGGTTTGGAACCAATTCCTGGTAAAATGCAACTCAAGTACACTGACTCTCCAGAAATTAGCCTATAACCTGGTAGAATTTACTATGCATATAGACATAGAATAGAGCTGTGATTACACAGAATAGGTTACATGAAGACAGATTAAGGAAGCTTTCACAATTCTCAATGGGATTTTGAAGGTAATAAATGCACAAGTCTATGCTGAATTAATTAATGAACTGATAATCCACAGGTACCAATCACTTGATTAATTTTTAAAATTTTATATTTTATATATATTATTTTCTATATTGTGATTGCCTTTTAACTTCTCTCTACCAAGACATTGTTTCCATGAAACTCCATGTTAGAATCATTTTCTTACACAAGTACACACATTCACTAGATATTTTCAGAGAAGCCACAAGTTCTCCTTTCTAAAAAGGCATTCATACCCTTGCTTCTGTTCCGTGGTCTCTCCAATGACCAGGTATGCTACACAGGTAAATAAGCATGTCACCAGGGTTTGGTGTATTAATTATCCCATCACCCAAATAGTGAGCATGGTACCTCAGAGGTAGTTTTTCAACCCATGCCGCCCCCCTCCCCAGAAGTCCGCAATGTCTATTGTTGCCATCTTTATGTCCATGTTTACCCAATGTTTAGCTTCTGCTTATAAGTGAGAGTATGTAGCATTTGGTTCTCTGTTCTTGCGTTAATTCACTTGGGATAGTGGCCTCCTGCTTATGCAGCAATTTGAAAAGGAGAACAGGCCAGGAAAACTGACCAACAAATAGAAGCAATGCTGCTTCATTTAAAACTATCAAGTTCCCTTTTCTACTTCACCTAATCAGGTGCACGTTCTCATGTCCTTTTTATCACAAGTTCAGAACCAAATGCCTAAATTATTAAATAGTCTTCTAGCTGACAAATTCAGTGCAACAATAATGACATTTTATCATGCGCTGGGCATTATGGGAAAATTTAGAAAAGGTTAATACAGTCCCTATTTTAATAAAGCTGACAATAAATTGGGTAATTTTAAGAGACACAAATAATCACAAAAGACAGAAAATACATTAATTTAAACAAATTTTATCAATTATTTAAAAAGTAACATTATGTAATGTATAATAGCAATTTAAGAAAGGAAGTAATGAGACCAACACTGGGGCCAAAATTGAGAGAATGAGAAAGAGCAACCAAGCAAAGACCTAGGTGAAAGACATTCAGAGCAGAATGGTTAGAAAGTATAGAGTCGCAGAGACAGAAATAAGCTTTTCTATAATTTCTATAATTGAGGAATCGAGAGTAGTCCAAAGTTGCTGGAGTATAATCAAGGGATTACGGCATGAGGTGAGGTCAGAGGACAGGAATGAGGTGAGGTCAGAGGACAGGAATTCACAGACCAGGGAATCTTTTCTAGGTTGTAGAGTGGAGAGCTTGTAGAGGCATTTAATACACATTTTTAATGAATATGTATAATATACATATTATACATTATTCAGTATACATAGTAATGAAAAAATCATTCATATCATTACTATTTGATTAACATTAATATATATTATATATCATTTATACATAGTCACATATCATTTATCATATATCATATATTATATATTATTATATCATATCTGGTCATATATAATACCTTGTATACATGATGTGTATATATAGTGTGTATTTATGATGTAATATATAAATGAAATTAAATAATGATATAATAACATATATATTATCTTATATATAAGATATATACACTTATAACAATATTATATAATACATATATAGTGTGTGTATATATGATTTATTATATATTAATGATATATGATATAATAATATATGAGATAATATATAAAGACATTATATATTAATAATATATAATGATATATAAATGAAAAATATATTGTGTTTATATGATATATAAATGCAAAATATATATTAAAACATATGTACATCATATATATACATACACATACATGTATATACATTTAAACAATTAATGGAAAAATAAGCATGCATTCCTTGTTTGTGGCTGAAGTGACAGAATCCAGTGTTAGGAATATTTTGCTGTTTGAATTTCCCTGACTATGATTATTTTGTGATTTTATCCATTTATACCTTACTTTTGTAGGGCCTGGGATGAAGGAATCTATCTCATGAAGTTTTGACACCAGAAGTGAGTGAAGAGACTAATACCCCTGGCCCACAGATGTGCCATAGACGAATAATGCTCACCAAATTCTCCGAGTACTCTCCTACATTTCCTAGCTTCCTTTGCAATTAAGTTGTTGTCATGGGACTAGTTCTGGCAAGTGAATTGTGAAGAAGAACTATGAGTATTAGTTCTGCGCTAAGGCAGTTAGGAGACAATTTGCTTCTTTCATCTCTCTTTCTGGCTTGGAAGCCATGTCTTGAGATGGTTGTCACAGCTGGGTGAACCCTGTTTTCTAAGTCCAAATGTTTCCCAACAATCAGCATCACAGTTTTCAAGAAGATGTAAGCTTTTCTGAAAAGCCATTGCAATTTTTGAAGCCCTTTTTCATTGCAGCTGCTAGAATTGATCACTTTGCTTAATAAAATAGGCAACCTATTTCTCCAGCAAGCAGAGGAAAATGAGTCTAAAGAAAGTCTCATTCCACACCACAGTTAGAAATGCAGTATATACTTCATTCCACTCACTACTATAGTATCACCATGTGTGAAGACTTGCTAATCCTTTACATTTGCTTAACAATTTAGAATTCACAAGAAATATCCACACATATTATCCCTGTGATCATCACCAAAAAGAAGCAGAATGACAGTTATATTCCCTTTTAACCAATGAAGATATTGTTTAATGAAGTTAAATATCCTGCTCAATGTACCTAGCTACTTAGAAGAATGCATTCAGACCTCAGAATTCCTTATTCCACTACAATCACATGTGTGTATATATGCAAATACATAAAAATATATGTGTATGTGTGTAATTTGTCAATACAATGAAATGCTGATTTCTTTTTCTCATAATTTGATTTCTAAGTTTCTCACCTAGAGTTGCCCAAAATATTGTTAATTATTTATATACAAAGTGACAGACGATTATGGAAAGGATGGGGGTCTGAGAGTCAGAATACCTATGGATGAGTCTTGGCTATGCTAGTTATATGTCCTCAATCTGGTTAACTAATGCCTCTGGGTTTCAGTTTCCTTATCTTTGAAATAAAGGCACTAGGATAAAAAAAAAATCTCTAATTACCTTTACAGTTTTATATGCTATACTTTTATGTCAAAACTTATGGATGATAGCTTAGCAGTAGGAACATTTTACTCCCCACTCCAAGAGCATTCAATGATGATGATTATAATAAGGTTTTACAAATGAGTTTTTATAATAGATTGAAAGAATCAAGATATGTTTTAAACGGACTTGATGATTATTTTAAGTCAGTATCTTTCAATAAAACCACTTGAAAGTTTTCACTTTTTGAACTCTAGTTTTTAAGGTTATTTTTCAGGAGCCATAGGTAAAGTGCAATACAAACACGTATTAATAGATGTTCATTCTCCCTTCATTATCAACTTCCTTCCTCACGCTAGGCAAGTAAATTTGCCCCTATATTCCTCATTTTTTGAAAACTTATTTGATCATATTTTCCTACTGCAACAAAAAATCATTATAAAGAGTTCTTAGAAAAATTAGGAAAGCACACATTTTTATTCTCCTGGCTCATAATGATTTGAATAATAATTTATTCAATGTGTTTTATTGAGAATCTACTAAGTGTTCAGCACTTTCCTTCACTTGGAGTATTTGGAAAAAATTCTGATCTTCCTAGTGTATTCTATTCTCTGCGGACTTAATGGTCAAAGGAAGGATTCACTTCCAAAAATCAGTTACTTTTCATCAGCCTTGTGCTTAGGGAAAGGTATGAAGTAGGCAAAATTTATCTTCCTCTTGCCCAAGTTTCTCTTCCTCGACTCTTAGCTCTTCTTATACCTTATAATTTTTATTATCTCACTAAACCTGTTCCCTCCCAGCTCTCTCCCATAACAGTAATCAGGCTCTCTTCTAATATAGTTTCCCTCAATGTTCCCCCTCCACCTGTAAAGGTATTTTTTGAGGGAAGATCTGACAAACATATTCCTTCATATATGTAAATAATTAAAAGTATATAATAATTTAATAAGGGAGTGTAGTGAATCAAACCCAAAGAAAAAACGTGATTTAAATCTACGTCTCTGAGTAGGTAGA